CCCAGCAATGCAAAACAACCAGATAATGAACAGGGAGTTGATCAAACCTGGGAGAAGGCAAAAACAGAGGTTCGACTGATACCCACATCAACTCGATTGATCTAGATAAGTCGAAAGTGGCTAAAAAGGACTTTCATGAGAGCTGCAGGTTGCGCTGGGCTGGAACCACTCGCCTAAAGGTTGCGAAGTCTGGAGAAAAAAACAACTGCGGGAGTCGATATGCTTGGAACAAAAGCTGCGATGCCTAGAACAGATGTTCTAGAAGGATTCGTAGGTCGTATGTGGGAGGAGACCACCTACGATGCCTAGAACAGATGTTCCAGAATGATTAGCAAGTCGTATAGGAGGAGAGAACACCTGCGAAGGACGTATGCAAAGGGAGAAGATGACAAACGAGAGAAGGCTACATCAACGTGCTAAGTCTGCTGCTGTGACCTAGCTCTGATACCATGATAACAAACATAATAATCTCTATATTGAACAATTAATCAAAAGGGCTGAATCCAGTATATATACTAAACTAACAAAACCCTAATATCCTAATTACAAGAGAAAGACTAAACTACCCTTAAGAGAGACAGAGCATAACAGAAATATAAAATACATATTCACAGTCTCAAGCAGAATTCAGTGATTAAGTTTCAGATTGATGGCTAACGGAGGCAGAGGTAGAAGAAGTGGTTGAGGTAGAGGCTTTTGCCACAAATTTGGGAGAAGAATCTGAGATGAATCCTTTGATTGGAAGAAACACTGTCAATCCAAGTCAACGAAATGAGATAAAAGAGTTGAGACCGAGATGGTGCAGCGTTTTCCAGCTCCTACCGATGTTAGTGATGCTTTTGAGGATGCTCAAACTCAATTTGAGAATCCTTTTGGTGCTCCGCAATGGCTTTGAGCGACCTATGGGTAGATTTGAGTACAAATTAGAGAACAATATCATAATTGAGCCTTCCAAATTTCGTGGGAGTCTCAATCCGAATGAGTTTGTGATGTTGGTTGAACACTATTGAAAGAGAGTGATGCAGAATATAAGAAGCTCAAGGAAGAGTAAATTCAAAGAAGTGATGATATTTGGAAATTGGCGTGATCTCAAAGAAAAAACCAATAAGAACCAGTAATCATGTTTCTAGTATTATTATAGTCTTATTTTATGATTAGTTTATATTTTGTAGGATTTTAGGTTAGGGTAATTTTTATATTTACTGGCATGTGTTGTAGGAGTTGCCCATGGTTCATCTTGTGGGTCAAGTTATTTAATTAAGTTTTATTTATGTTTCTTATTTGGTCTTCAATTGGTTTTGGAAATCAAAGATATTGTAGTTGTTTACTTTTTTGGTTCTAGTTGGTTTAAGAAATCTCTAAAGTCCATATAAAATCATGTAATGCTTCTAATTCAAGGAAGTTAACATTTTAGAGAATTTCAAGAGTTTTTGAAGTTTCTTTATGGATTGTGTCAAGCAATCAAACCCTAGATGTGATGTTGAAGGAATTCTAGGAGTGATTCTTAGATCTATCTTCTTCTTTTCTCTTCCTTCCCTTTTTTTTAAATTCTGCACTTTAACAACCGAAAACACTGTTCACGGGTACTGTTCACAGCACCCAAAACAGTCCCAAAATTTAATCTTCCTTCTTATTACATTAAGCCCTAACCCTAATTCTTCTATACACTAGTAGAAGTGCCAAATTTTCCATTACATTTTAGCTTGAAATCACAATAAAGACCTACTGAAATTCAGCTTTAAAAGTCCTCCCTACTCGTCCTACATCAGAGTGTTTACATGTTGCAAAGTTTTGGAAGAGAAAATGGTGAAACTGGTGTCTATACGCCTCAAGGGAAAGATTAGAGGTTGGTAGAAAATGAAGAAGCTCAAAGTTTGAACTGTATGCAAACTTCGTACAAGAACTTGTATAACCTCAAGGAACTTGGGAGTGTTAAGGAATATATGGAAGCATTTTATCTACTTGTTGCAAGAGTTGATCTTAGTGAGAGTGAAGATCAAATGGTTGCAAGGTACATAAGTGGGTTGAGGCTCTCCATCCAAGAGGTATTTAGCCTTCAGATGTTGTGGTCCATTTTGGAGGCTTATAATAGAGCTTTGGTGGTTGAAAAGCAACAAAACTGAGGTGTTTATAGGCCTGGACAACAGTTCCCAGGTGGTTCTAGGCTGGGCCAACCAACTCCTAGCTTTGCCAAGGCTAATTCTTCAACAAAAAGTGTGGATAGATTCTGTCCTAATGCAAAATCAACATACTAACTGTGCTTTGGGAGGCCAAAATCAGTCCCAAACTAGTGGTTTTAATTCTCTATTTGGTTCATTGGAATAAGATGGAATGGAATGGTCTGGTCATTCCCTAAGTTTCCCCGTGGAATGATCATTTCTTTATAATGGTAAATAATGATTCCATTTGCAATTTATTTTTCACAAAGTTTTTAGTCAATCAAACATGGGAATGGACATTGTAATGGTGTTCCACTCCATTCCAATGAACCAAACACTACCTAAGTGCTTCAAGAGTGGGGAATCGAGTTATAAGTCTTCGGATTGTTGGAAGGCTATGGGCAACCAAATTAAGGTACTTCTTCTTGAGGAAGTGACGGAACCTAAGAAGCATGGATATGGACACAGACACAGGACACGGTGTCAGTGTCCCATATGTGTCCAACACGGACACAACATATATTTTGTGATGATGATATTCCAATATATTACCAGCCCCATATTAAGGAAATTATAGGTGATGTTGAGAAAGTAGGTCTTGCTCTCATGATTTAGAAGACTCCTCTTACGCTTAAACAAGGTGAAGAAGATTGGTTGCCAACCAAAATTTTCTAGACTAGCAACATTAGAAGCTGAGTTTGCAACATGATCATCAATAGTGGAAGTTGCGAGAATGTCGTATCTTAAGAGGTAGGTCATAAGTTGAGCCTCGATGTGGAAGACCACCTTGATCTTTATACACTTTTGGTTCAAGAAGGGTGTTAAGATTAGATGAAGGGTAGTTGTGTAATCGTATACTTATCACATAATGATAGAAATATACCTAGTTAGAGAGGACAAACTAATTTTTGATTAGGTTTTGTGCCTTCTAACGTTGTTTTCTCTCATCTTCTCTGTTCTATCATCTTCTTCCTTCCTTCTTAGATTTCTTCTTTTATTTTTAACTTGGTATTAGAGCAGTACACAATCTGTGTTCTTTCAATTTCCTGGTCCATTCTTTCACTGTTCGATAATGTTAAAAAAAAAAATCCCAGCATGCTCAACTATGGCTGGGGATTGCTCAGAAAAATTTTCAATTTTTTTGAGATCTTCTTTGCTTATTTTTTGATTTTTTCTTTATTTTTGAGAATAATAGATCATTTTTTTAGAATTGCAATTCTAGTATGTTTTTGTTTGATTCAAGGCTTGGGCTCCCTTCTCTAGGCGGTGACTAGGTTGTTTAGAGCCTTCCTTGGCTTCAGTTTTCACTTCTGCGGTATTTTTTTGTTGTTGGTCCTTTTGGTTCATTCGGGTGCTGTTTGAGCTTGTTTCTGGTGCTTCCTGGTTGTGTCTTTGGTGAGATTTATACTTCCAGATAGAGTTTTGTTCTCTCTTCATCTCAATTTTCATTTGGTTGTGTGGTCTTAACTAATGGCTGCCGAAGGTGTCATTTCTGGCAACAATGAGACTAAGAGTTTAGGTCCTAGTGTGATGCTTGGTGATAACTCCTCTTCAACTTTCTTCTATTAAGGTAGATGGCACCAATTACTTAGTATAGTCCCATTCCTTTCAGTTGGCTATTACTGCTCGTGGCTTGTTGGGATACATAGGCATTACTCAGGCTCCTACGGAGGATGGACTAGCACGTGACAAATGGAATAAGGAGAATGCCCTGGTTATGATCTGGTTACTCAGTTCTATTCATTCTAATATTAGTCGGTATTTTTTTTTTATGGACACTGCTTATGAGATTTGGACTGCTGCAAATCAGATGTATTCCCGACGAGGTAATGATGCTCTGGCCTATGAACTGCCTAAAAAGATTCGGGGTTTTGATTAGAAAGATAGGTCTCTCGTTGAGTATTATTTAGAGTTGAGTAGTTTGTGGTAGGAACTTGACTATTATCAAAATTTCCAGGCTGTGTGTTCCCTAGATGCAACTATGTTTCAGCAGATGGTGTCCAAAGAGCATGTGTATGACTTCCTTGCTGGTCTCAACATGGAGTATGATCCAATTCGTGTTTAGGTCTTGGTCATGATTCGTTTCCTATCGTGCATAAGGCCTATGCTTATGTTCTGCAGGAAAAAAGTAGGTGGAGTGCTATGGTTCATCAGCCCCTTCAGGATCGCTCTGCTCTAGCTATCTTTTCTACTCCCACGGCTGATAAAGTTGATATGTCCAAGTCTGGAGGCAGAGGCTCCTCTAATGATCAGATCATTTGTGATTCTTGTGGGAAAGAATGGCATGATCGGGACCATTGTTGGAAGTTGCATGGTCGTCCTATTCGAGGACAATGTGGTGGTTGTGGCCATCGTGGTGGTACTGTTCGCTCTAATGCACATCTCTCGGAGTCATCTCCTAATACTTCAAGTGATCCTGCAGCACTTTCCCAAGACGAGTTACATATTCTCCGGCGCCTGATGGCTCGGCTTGATTCTTCTCCTGCCATTGCTTCTAATCCCCCTTCCTCCAACTTTGCTTCCACAGGTATTCCTTTGCGTGCCCTGAGTGTTATTTCATCATCTCTTTGGATTATTGACTCTAGTGCTACAGATCATATGACAGGTTTGTCTAATCTTTTCCACTCTTACTCTCCTTGTTCTGGGAAGGATAAAGTGAGAGTTGCAGATGGGTCTTTATCCTTTGTCTCTAGGACATGCTCTATTCATTGTTCTCCTTTTATTTCTATATCATCAATTTTACATGTCCCAAATTTCTCTACTAACTTGCTCTCTGTTAGTCATCTTACCATTTCTTTAAATTGTTTCATAACCTTTTATCCTTCTCATTGTGTCTTTCAGGAACTGGATACGGGGAGAATGATTGGCAGTGGTAAAGCACATGAGGGCCTGTATGTTTTGGATGCTGAATCTTCCTCCTCTAGACAAGCTCTTCAAACTATCGGCATGCCTGGCCTCTCACTTTTACATCAGTGGCATATGCGTTTAGGGCATCCCCCCATTTTTGTTTTAGACAAACTTCTCCCTAGTTTAGTGAAGCATTGTGATAGGAATAATTTTCATTGTGATGCCTGTGAGTTAGCCAAGCATAAACATTCTTGTTATCCTCTAATTAATAAAAGAAGTTTATTTCCCTTTATGGTTATTCATTCTGATGTATGGGGTCCCTCTCGTGTTATGTCTGTGTCTGACTGTTGTTGGTTTATCACTTTTATTGATTGTTATTCCCGTGTCACTTGGATTTACATGCTTCGTACCAAGAGTGAAGTTTTCTCTTGTTTTAAAACATTCCATAAGATGGTCCATACTCAGTTTGCCACTCTCATTACAGTCCTTCGGAGTGACAATGGCACTGAATATATTGATGGTGACTTTTGTGCGTATCTCGAAGAACATGGCATCTTTTATCAAACCAATTGTATTGGTATTTCTGAATAGAATAGTGTTGCTGAATGGAAAAACCGTCATCTTCTTGAGGTTGCTCGTGCTCTTATGTTTACGATAAAAGTTCCCAAACCATTCTGAGGTGATGTGGTTCTTACCGCTGCTTATCTTAGTAACCGCATGTCTTCTACTGTTCTTCAGTTTTAGTGCCCTCTTGATCTTCTCTCTCACACTACTGTGTCTCCCATCTCTCTTCCTCCTAAAGTGCATGTCTGTTTTGTTCATTCCTCCCGCCTCACTTGGAGCAAATTAGATCCCAAGGCTATGCGCTGTGTTTTCGTTGGTTATTCCTCTACCTAGAAAGGCTATAAGTGTTATGATCCTTACTCTCGTAAATTCTATGTTATTATGGATGTTACCTTCTGTGAATCTGAGTCCTTTTTTTCAGGTCAAGGTCAGTCTCTTCAGGGGGAGGCTTCTACAGAAAAGGTTGTTTTTTCTGATCTATCTGATCCTTTTTTTCTCTATCATTTATAGTGTGGGGGAGGTGCAAACTGAACATATTCAGGGTGAGTCTAGTGGGGAGGTGCAAACTGAACGTATTCAAGGGGAGTCTAGTAGGATGGATAAACCAGATCTCAAGACCTACACTTGGCGACAAACTGAATAGCCATCTCACATGCTTCCATGCCCAATGCCATCTCCGAATCCAGTTACTATTCCGTTTGTGGATCCTTCAGGTAATGAGTCCTTGGCCACTACTCCCATTCCCATTGATGATCTTAATCTTTCTATTGCTATTAGGAAAGGAGTTAGAACTTGTACTCAACATCCTATATCTAATGTTGTGTCCTATGACTCCTTTTCTCCATCATATCGTGCATTTGTTTTGTCTTTGTGTTCTGTATCTATTCCACAAGGTTGGAAGGAAGCACTTAATGATCCTAAGTGGAAAGAAGCTATGGCAGAAGAAATGAGAGCTTTGAGTAAGAATGGTACTTGAGAGTTAGTTTCTCTACCATCAGGGAAAAGGCTTGTGGACTGCAAATGGGTGTTCACCATTAAGCAACAAGCAGATGGAACCATTGAGAGATATAAGGTGAGACTAGTTGCTAAAGGGTTTACTCAGACTTATGGCATTGACTATCAAGAGACCTTTGCTTCGGTGGCTAAGATGAATTCTATTCGTGTCTTGCTTTCCTATGCAGCAAATCTGGGGTAGCCATTGCAACAATTAGATGTAAAGAATGCTTTTCTCCATGGTGATTTAGAAGAAGAAGTTTATATGGATGTTCCTCCCGGTTTTTCCTCTCCAGTTATTGTTGAGAAGGTCTATCGGTTAAAGAAAGCATTGTATGGTTTGAAGCAGTCTCCTAAAGCCTGGTTTGATAGATTTCTAAAGGCAATGATTAGATTTGGTTACAAGCAGAGTCATGCAGATCATACTATGTTCATCAAACAACGGGTTGATAGGATTGCTGTACTTATTGTCTACGTGGATGACATAGTTGTGACTGGGAATGATGTAGAGGAGATGTCTCAAATCAAAGCTCAACTTTCCAAGGAATTTGAAATTAAAGATCTTGGGCCTTTACGGTACTTTCTTGGGATTGAGATCGCTAGATCTGACAAGGGCATATTTATCTCTCAAAGAAAGTACATCTTAGATTACTTGAGGAAGTAGGAATGTTAGGATGTAGACCGGTAGATTCTCCTATTGAGGCCAATCACAAACTTAGCAGTAGTGATGGAGATTGTGTTGACAAGGAAGATATCAAAGACTTACAGGGAGATTAATATATCTTTCACATACTAGGCCTGATAGTGCATTTGTGGTGGGTGTAGTACGCCAATTTTTGCATGATCCACAAACAGGTCATTTGGATGCAATTAATCGGATCTTGAGGTATCTGAAATTAGTGCCAGGAAAAGGGATCTTGTTTTCTAATCATGGTCACTTGAGGCTGGAGGCCTTCACTGATGCAGATTGGGTTGGTGCAGTTGATGACAGGAGATCCATTTCAGGTTATTGTACCTTTGTGGGCGGAAATCTAGTAACTTGGCGCCGCAAGAAACAAGCAGTTGTAGCTAGATCGACTGCAAAAGCAGAATATCGGGGCATGGCTAGTGGCATTTGTGAATATGTGGCTTCAAGTTTTATTGGCAGACTTGGGATTGTTAAGTAGTGGGCCAATGAGATTGTATTGTGACGATAAGGCTGCTATTAACATTGCTCATAATGCAATTCAGTATGATAGAACAAAGCACATTGAGATTGACAGACATTTTATTAAGGGTAAAATCATCAGTGGAGTGATTTGTATGCCTTTTGTGCAGTTAGCAGAACAGTTGGCTGATATATTTACTAAAGGGTTGGGTAGTAAGGTTTTTCATCCCATTGTGTGTAAGTTGGGTATGAGAGATATCTATGCACCAACTTGAGGGGGAGTGTTAAGATTAGATGAAAGGTAGTTGTGTAATTGTCTACTTATCACTTATTGATATAAATATACCTAGTTAGAGAGGACAAACTAATTTTTAATTAGGTTTTGTGCCTCCTAACGTTGTTTTTCTCTCATCTTCTCTGTTCTATCATCATCTTCCTTCTTTCTTAGATTTCTTCTTTTATTTTTAGCTAAGGGTAATTAAGTGAAGGTCACCAAGAGATGTTTGGTTGTATTCTCTATTGAGAATAAGATTTTTGATAAAGTTTGGTGTGTCACCAGAGCCTCCTGTGCCAAGCTATGGGCATTGGTTTTGGTTTGACCTTGCATATGGGGGTCTTAGTGGTCTAGGATATGTGGCATGGAGGCACTGTTGCAACTTGTGGACAATCAGTGATCTCATCTAACCTTCTCTTGTGTTGAGCATTTTAAGCTTGTTGTGCTAGTTGGTGTAATGCTTACCTGCGGGCTATGCATTGACATGTTGCCTTACTTGGGTGTCACGCTAGTGCAACACTATAGGCACACAATGGCCAATGGTGGATCCATGCGTGTGCACAAGGATTGCGTTGTGGGACGCAAGTGACCCTCAGTGTTGTGCGGGGGTATCGATGACCCTGTGTCTATTTGAGATGGGCAACAAGGACCCAATATGCAATAGAAACTTGTTGGCTAGTTAAGGGCCTACACTAGCACCTGGTTGGGCAACGTGAGGTGGCTTAGCCACATTTCCAGTGGACACTTTGTATTGTTGTGTGGAAAGGAGTGTCTTGATGACATTGGATCCTTTGGTGAGGCGAGCACCTTGCTCATGGCTGAGCTTGGGGCACGGAATCATCTGGTTGGTCGCATGGATGTGCAGCTTGGGACAAGCATGCCCCCTGTAGCCATTTGAAGTGCCGGACTTCCTTCGACAAGTTGTTCTTGCTAGATAAGTTCAGGCCTACAAATGTCCAGACAGGTAAAGATTCAACACTCGAATGGTCAAAAGGTTGGGCAAGCTTTGACTAGGTGGAGTTTGAGTGCATCATGGAGAAACTTCCGATGTGAAAAAGAGTCGCCCCATGACTCTATGCTATGTCATCATAGGCCGAAGCTTCAATTGAAGTTTTGAGTGACAGCAGGACTGTTCGACTTTGACGCTGTAAGACCTAATCAATATTCAAAGATTTTCCACCTCACACTCCCTGTTAATTCTATACATGAAACTTAGAAGAATGATGATAGTCATGCTTGAACTTCAGACTTTCCACCTCACAACTGTCTGCTGGCAAACCCATCAACTTCAGACTTTCCACCTCACAACTAGCTGCTGGAAAACCCATCAAGAATTTTATGGGACTCATTTAATGTTTCCTCGAGTTTCTTTTTTAAGAAAAAATGTTTAAACTCTTCGGTTGTCACTTTCTTGCTCTTGATCGGTTGATGCAGGAAGGCTTTGGGCCATGGGTGATCATTGTAATTTTCTTACACCCTCTCTCGGCTATATTACTTGGATTTGTGATTGTCTAGCTGCAAAATCTGCCAGAAATGTTGGCATTGCATAAAAAGTTAAATGCTCAATTCTATTTCATGCCTTCGTTTATGTGAACATCTAATGCTGAGATATTTTTAACCTATGGATAATGTTTGTTCCTGCATTCTAATCCATAATGCAGGCCATATTCTCCATGGAGTCATTTGTCAAAACACGAGCTTTGCCAGAGGATGTGATCGAGGGTTGGCGACCAAAAGTGATGGGTTAATCATTCTAGTTATTGTACCCTGCAACTTCTGCAGTCTATATTTCTCTGCAATTAGGTAAATATGAAATTGGCATAATCCTGTAAACAGTGTACAGTCATGGCTGATGTGTACGCTATCCTTGAAATGAAAATACAGTTTCTTGCTTCAATTGTATGCGATTGGTTTCATGCATTTTTACTGCCCAAATGTAAGGGCTTTCAATATGAAGCTTCCATTTTGAATAGATCATTCATATTAGTTTGATTGGATTTCATGGTCGAGGTTGATAGCTCCTTGCCCTATAATCATGTGTCTGGATCCTGCGTTTGTAAAGGAAAAAGAAATGAAAAGGTGAAAATAAGTGAAGAATAATCTTTTTAAACATATATATATATATAAGTATTTATTTTATTTTATTTTATTTTATTTTTTTTACGTTTTCATTTTTTGGGTAGGCTTTTGGGGTAATAGTCCTAAGCTCTAACCTTTTGGGGCTATAAGGATAATAAAATTTAAAAGACCATATTACTCATGTCTATTTGTCCACTATTCTATCTATCTATCTAATGTCACTAATTTGTTCACGTGCCAGCTTTCCATTAGAAATTTGTCCATGTCATCACCCCACTACCCACTACTGGTAGCCTGTTGCTGTCGCTACCAGTTAGATCCGACAATTTTTTTGATGCCAACAACTTTTCTAGCAACCAAAGGTAGTGTTTAAAAATAAAAATAAAAAACATCATTAAATTTGTTCTGACTTTTTTTTAAAAAATATTTTTTAAGAGCAGAGTTTGTTCTTCTTACTAAATAGTTTCTTTAATCATGCCTTACAACTAAAATAAAACAATCCTGGACTTAATGTCGTACACTCTTTTAAAATGAATTTCTCAACAAATT